TCTTGATTTAAAAAAGTCTTCCCCGTATAGAAGTGGAACTCATTTTTTTTACAAGGACAGGCAAGAACAGGCAAGAACTTACTTGACCATTACAAGAAAGATAGAGGGAAAAGTATGTAAAAATGATGGAAACACGTACTAGGCCGAAAATGTAACTGTTGTATTTGTTGTTGTTGTTATTGATGTCGTTGCTGATGCTGTTTTTGTTGCTGTTGTTGTTATTGTTGTTGTTGTTATTGTTATTGTTGTTATTGTTGCTGCATGTTAAAATTTGAAGATTAAGCCGATTCGAGTAATTAAAAAAAAGTTTTAGTAAGCGTTCTACGGCATAATTCTACACAGACCGATCACATATAAGGGCAGGAAATTAGAGGTGTGACTAGAGAGACATACATGAAGAAATTACATGATGGAGGAGAGATGAGGAAGACAGACGTTTGACAGAAAAAGAGCAAATCACACCAAAACACCGATCAACACCCACAATCGATGTAAGTCAGAAAAAATACAACTACATCATTAATTTGATAGATAGATAAAAAGAAATAGATTAAATGAATGAAACTGATCGCAAGATTGAAATAAAAACCCTGATAGATCCATAGAGATAAATAGATAATTCTCAAATGAAATGCAATGAAGTGGCAGTAGCTATCTCCAAGACTATTCCTTCCCTGCTCTTCCTTATATATCCCCTTTCCCTTACCCCCGTCATAACGCAGTCTGTTCACATTCCTGTTCTGTAGAGCTCAATAATTGATATTTGTGAGTCAAAGTGCGGATGTGCTTTTCTGGGAACCAGGGGTATGGGAGGGTCAGACTGGAGGCTCGAGACTTGATATTGAGTCTGGCCTGGGGGTAAGACCAGGGACCTAAGCTGTCAGGCTGCCTTTATTTCAGAGAAATCTAAAATGATTTCGACTCCTATAAATAAGATTAGTACTGTAGTCCAGACACTATTCGGGCATTACATATTCTGAGGTGTGCGCGCGCACACACGCACGGACACACACACACACACACACACACACACAAACACACACACACACTCACACACAAACACACACACACAAACACACTTACATTTACAGAGAGAAAGCAAGAGAGAGAAAGTATAAAGAGAGAGAGAGAGAGAGAGA